CGCAATCCATCTTGTTACGTTCACATTACCTGGATTAACCACAGTAATCCCTAGCACTTTTCCGATATTTTTCAACTCCTTTTTCGACTTAGGGCTGAAATGGTACGTTTTCCACACTAAATATAGCAAGTCATAAACTTTGGTTATTATCGGCTGTTTTCTTAGTCCAGAAAGTAATGCCAACTCCAGCCTTATGAAAGAAAAGGAGATAAAAAATATTGGAATTTCTATAAATTACACCTTATTTATTGTTTTTTTAAGCGAGCAGACACCAGGCTGGGGGCAGCGACCTTTAAGCATAAGAAAAGAAAACTGTAAAGACATCGAAGCCATCGATTCCTTTATAGGCCCTACGTAATACATTTTATACTTTATTTTTAAGAGTATAATGTAAACTAATACCTGTGAGGCATGCAATGAATTGGTAAAACATGGTCCCCGGAACTCTCTTTGAGGTGAGTAATTACTCCACCACGATTTCCAAGATTGACATTGGCCCCATCTGCTCCAAAACCAACAAGTTTTGAAAGCCAATTTTCACATTTCAAATTTCAAAGGCTTCATGATAATAACATTTTTCAGCTTAGACATTTTTATATTATAAATATTATGTAAGAACAAACTTACCGGCTGCATTAGCATGTTCCAGTTCTGCTTGGCCAACCAAACGATTTACCGGCAAACCATTCTCGACGAGTCTTACGTAAACGATCTCGCACTCCTTTACCGAAATATCAGTGTCACCATCAATCAAAATGCTTATGTATCGTTGTTTATCAATTTCTGTGGCAAGCTGTTCTTTCATATCGTCGGCGATAGCTCCAATTAACTGTGCGCACATATTATTGTTTGCATAAGTTGGTGTAATTTCTGTTCCATTTTTGTAATGGAGAGTAACAAGCGGTCCAAATTTAGTAAAGGCCAATTCCTCTTTTGCAATAAAATATGCAATATTAACCTTCTTTTTTACTTCTTGTACCATAGCACTTTGACCATGTAGAAAAGCATGCTTTAATTGCGATGGTCGCTTCCCTTGCTGACGTAACCAGATGTCCCGATTACGTTTATGCGTTTTAGATCGTGAGTGTAGAGTTAACGTTTCACGTTTAAATCTACCCGTAATCCCTACGGCAAGACTGTTTTTTTCTGTTCCTTTCGAATGACCAACTTTCTTGCAATAGGCGCACCACATCATGTTGCTTGTTTTCGAATATGAGAATTCCTTCAGCCACTTGATTTGGAATTGGTACTTTTTGCCCATCTTTGTTTTCCCCTTTTTAGTTAGACCCTGCTCCTTGTCTATCGCTTCCTCTTCTTCTATCTCCTCCTCCACTAGGCATATCTCATCTGTTTCTACATCATCTACTGCTTGGCCTACATCTCCTACTACTTCCTCTTCTTCCGAATCAACTTTTTCTTGATGTTCTATCAATTCGTGTTCGTCAGAAGATGAAATGGACGCCAGGGAAGCAAATTCTGAAGAATCATCAGAGTCGTTAATAGGTGTAGCCGCAGACTTTGTCGCACTTCGCACTTCCTTCAGCCACTTGATTTGGAATTGGTACTTTTCGCTCATCTTTGTTTTCCCCTTTTTAGTTAGACCCTGCTCCTTGTCTATCGCTTCCTCTTCTTCTATCTCCTCCTCCACTAGGCATATCTCATCTGTTTCTACATCATCTACTGCTTGGCCTACATCTCCTACTACTTCCTCTTCTTCCGAATCAACTTTCTCTTGATGTTCTATCAATTCGTGTTCGTCAGAAGATGAAATGGACTCCAGGGAAGCAAATTCTGAAGAATCATCAGAGTCGTTAATAGGTGTAGCCGCAGACTTTGGCTTAAAAAAGTCAGATATTTTTTTGCTCATCTTTCTACTCGGTCTTAATTCTGTAAACAGCAATGGGATTATGAACTACGATGGATGGACATGACCATTCAAGATTAAAAGTTGGGAATTCCAATGGAATTCTCATGATATTACAGTGGAGTTTTCATCTTTTGGACATTCTAATGTAATTTTTCATCTCGTAGAAATTCCATTGGAATTTCCATGTCGTGTCAGAGGTAACACGAGCGCGCTGCGTGCACCATCGTCCCTCTAATCACATTGCTGGGTAATGATAATTATTATTAATATTATTATTATTATTATTAGGCCTATTATTAGGCCTATTATTATTATTATTAGGCCTATTATTATTATTATTATTAGGCCTATTATTATTATTATTATTATTGTTGTCGTTGTTGTTTTGTATAATCTATTGACATGTATTATAATTATAGTTACTACTACTACTACTACTACCACTACAACTACCACTACCACTACCACTACTACTACCACTACTACTACTACTGAAAAACAGTGTTATGACCGCATGCAGCATAGGCTTATTTAAAATACCGCTTGGTTGTAAATGTATTGTTGTTGTCAAGGGGATTTCTCACTCGTTGCTGCACTGTTCACGCCTCATTGACTCTGGTACAATGAATTGGATCATAGAGCAAAATGGACGTTTCTGGCGTACGATCCGTTCTTTTCTTCAATGCTACTCCGTGGTAATACTAGCAGTATGTTTAATATATCATTCATGCTACAAGTTACTTAAACAAATTGTTTATCATCATGCTTTACAACTAAAATCGATTTACATTTATTTGAATCAATACATCAGTAGCCTATATTGTAAGTTGTAACCAGGGAGTTATAACGACCCTGTTGGAAATACAGTACAGTAATAACAAAATGAAATACTGGAGCTCGTCCCGGCAGTGCTGGAAAAATATATCATTTTTTTATATGGGGATCAAACATCCTAGCTATGACAAAAATAACATAAAGACGACTCAATCAATCTATATTTTGTGTTTTTATTGTTTCATCGTATAATAATTATTCTTTTCATTTTTTAAAAAGAATTATTGTCTTGAATGTTCAACCAGTGTTTTAATGAAGACTAAAGTTCGGGTGTATGCCGTATGATCGTATTTGCATCGTATAATCATTGGCAAATCAACCGCAGTTAAACAAATTCCACGATTAACGCTACCATGAACCACAGGCACAACAACAGATTACTCCGTCACGCTTCAACAGTAGAGCTCTTTGTGATTGGTTGACACAATACTCAACCTACCAATCACAGCAATGTAAATGCAATCACCAAACAACTCTGTGAAATGTACTCAGTAGCTTGCTTTGCATGCATGAATGGGTTTCCAAGCTGTGGGCATGATGCAAGACAGTACTGCGGCGTACTATTGAAGGTTTCACTCCCACAATTGGGAGGAAAAATCGTTTTTACACGGATTAAAAACTAGTCGCGCAAGCAAATGACCTTGTCGCACTTCGCGCGACTAATAAAAATTCCCTGTCGCATTTACTAAAATCAGGTCGCAAATGCTACCAAATTACGCTTAATTTCAAGCCCTGGATAAGCTGCAGAACGGCAAGCCCTGTCCCATGTTGAATATCTGTCAAACCTTTTGAGTAAAGTCAAAGTTTTCTATTACATCTACAGCCATGGTGCTGTGTTTCTCTCACTGTATATCCTCTATGTCATCATAGTTGGCATCCGCCACCTTACTTGGTTCAAATTTGCTGTTCCATAGAAATTTTGGACCGTTCAACCACCTTGGATTGGTGACAAGTTGGGCAGCTGTCATGCCTCTACTTCCTTCGTCACTGGGATTGTGTTCTGAGCGCACATACTTCCATTGATCCATCTTTGTTAAATCACGTATGAACTGCACTCTGTTAGAAACATAAATCTTAAAACGCTTTGTCTCATTCTTCAGGTAGCATATCACCACCTTGCTATCAGTCCAGTAGTACTCTTTAACACCATTTAGTCTCAATTCCTTTCGCAAATAGGCACTCTCTTGCGGAAACCACGACTGCGGTTAGTTCTAAACGAGGTGTGGTAATTCGTCTATTTAGTGGCATCACTCTAGCTTTGCCGGTCACAAATGAAACATTCACACCACCATCTCGGTATAATACTCGTAAATAGAAACACTGGCCATATCCGGCTTCCGACACATCAGAGAAATGATGAAGTTCTAGGGAAGCTACATTTGTACTATCAGGCTTGATACATCTATTTATCCGCAGTGCTTCAAGTTTGTTGAGGTCGTTCCTCCATTTAGTCCATTTAACCTTGAAATCATCTGGAACCGGGTCATCCCATCAGATTCCTTCTTTGCAGAGCCCTTGCAAAATTGCTTTTCCAGTTAACATTACCGGTGCCAAGAAACCTAAAGGGTCATACACTGAATACACCGTTGCTAGGATCCCTCTTCTGCTAACACTATGCTCATCCAAATCCATCTTGAAGTAAAAGGAGTCAGTTTCTGCACACCAAAGTACTCCTAACACTTGTACTGTGGGTAGTTTGTCCCCTGGTTTTAACTGTTGAACTTCCTTTGCCCTCAGTTCTGCGGGAATTGATGAGATGACTTCCCTGTTATTGGATACCCATTTGTGAAGTAACAATCCTGCCTTATCACACAACTTCTCAGCAGAATCAACGAGCTTGATTTTCTCTTCCACAGTTGCCCGTGATGTTGGACCGTCATCCACGTAGAAATCATTTCTGACATAATCATGTGCTTCAGAACCGAACTCCTCGCCATCATCTGATGCATGCTTCATACCAAAATTTGCCACTCCGAGCGAACTGGTGGCTCCAAACACATGTACCTTGGCTCTGTATTCAATCAATTTTTTCTCGGGATCACTACTTTCCCACCACAGAAAACGTAACAAGTCCCTATGCTCAGGTGCCACGTAAAATTAATTAAACATTCCTTTAATGTCACCTAATACAGCTACCGCCTCTCTTCTGAATCGACTCAGGACTCCAACTAAACCATTTGATAAATCAGGTCCTTGCATTAGGTGATCATTCAAGCAGGTACCATGGAAGGGTGCACTACAATCAAACACCACCCTTATCTTATTCTTCTTTGCGTGATAAACGCCTGTATGTGGGAGATATTTGATCATACCATGACGGAGATCAATTTCATTGCCTGGTACGGGTTCCGCATACTCCTTCAACATTCCTTCCATAAAGTCAATGTAGTCTTTCTTGTAATCTTTGTTTTTATCAAATTTCTTCTTTACGGACTGTAGTCTTTTTTCTGCGAGGCATCTGTTGTTAGGAAGGGTCTTTACGTTGTTACGCAAGGGGAGTGGCATCTCATAGTGTCCGTTGCTGATTACAGTCTGAAAAGATCTTAATGAATTGTTGATCTTCCACAGATGTTCCTTGAGCGTCACTATTATACTCTGCAAAATCTAGGTGAAACATTGATTGAATGGTACCTATAGTTTCCTTCGCACTTGAGGCAGTATAGAAGCTTGTGGAATTTTCAACATCCTTATTTTTACAAACTGTTCCAATAATGCCCCATCCTAGTGATGTTTGTTGAGCATATGGCTCATCTTCACCTCCTGCTATGACATCTCTGGGTTGCACTGCTCTTGGTACATCATTCCCAACGAGAATAGCTACGGGAGCACCCTTCTGCAGAGCAGGAATTTGAGATGATATCTTGGTAAGGTGTGGCCCCTGAAGTGCCGTCATTGGAGTAGGGATCTGAGATCTTCTTGCCGTTCTGCATTTCCTGCTAGATAGAACAGGTATCTTTATTTCTGTTTTTCTGTCGAAACTGGCTATGCGTAAATCTACAAATCGTTTGCAATCTATCTCAGTCGCTCCATGCATGGTTGAAAGTTTCATCTTTGTTGCTTGTCCTTTCAAATTCAAGTTTGCTGCTGCATCATCACTTATGAAGCTTGTGTTGCTTTGTGGGTCTAGAATACAATAGACTAACATCTCAGTGTTGGGATCAGAAGATGATGTCATCCAAACCGGAACAATCATCGAATTGTCATTACATCTGGTACTGCTACCACAGATGGTTGTACATTTCGAATCTGCAGTATCTTTCTCTTTGTTCATGGTATTCTTCTTTTCGAAATGAAGAAAAGTCATGGTCTTTTCCATTACAAGTTCTACAAGGCTTCTTAGACAAGCAATTGGTTAATAAATGTTCATACGAACCGCACCCAAAGCACAAATGTTTTTCTCTGAACAGGGCTTTTCTCTTATGCCTAGGAATTTTCATAAATAGTGTGCAAATATTGATCTCGTGGTCAGCATTGCAGTAAGCACAGGCCTTTGGCTTTTCACTAGTTTCTTTGGTTTGCTCTCAGCAGGCTTTGGATCGGGCATGAATATAGGGTTTGTCGCTATTTCTGCCTTTTTCTTTACGAATGCTGCAAAGCACTCGAAGTTTGGAAAGTCGTTGAATCTTTGACATTCGGCTTTCCATTTGTCCTGTAGTCCATAAGGTAGCTTCTGCCATAACTTTCTGTTTTCTTCTGCAAAGTCTAAGATGTCGAGTTCCTTTATCGTTTTCTTTGCAACGACAGCTTCGTTAAGGGCATCTGAGAATCTTCTCAGTGCGAGTGGGTCTATGCCACAATCTGGGAACGACTTTAAACTTTGTCTATAAGCATTATCAATTGTGGACTTGTTACCATACCTTAAGGTTAACTCACGTTTAGCCTCATTATATGCCTCTTTAGTCTGGAGTAAAACTTAAAGGTATCCTTTCACGAGGTCTTTTGGTTCTCCTGCCAAATGATTCACCAAGTGATTCAACTTTTCTTCTGGCGTGACAGTTTTTGCTTCAATTAATTTATTAAAGGAACTGAGCCAGGAAGGAAATTCTATGGGATTTTCCGAAAATGTTCCTACTTTAATCTCAGGTAATCTCATGGAGTTAATAAGTAGCTGTAATCCGTCATTATATGTTGTATTATCTCTTACAGCTGGTTTGTTTGGCATGCTGCCACGACAGCATTGTCTACAACAGCGGGTTCATCCGGTAAATTAGCTGCAACAGCATTGTCTATAACAGGTTTTACAGCCGGTTCATCTGACATGTTAGCCATGACAGCATTGTCCGCAACAGCGGGTTCATCGGGTAAATTAGCTGCAACAGCATTGTCTATGACAGGTTTTACAGCCGGTTCATCTGGCGCTGCCTCTCTATGACCTAGATTGAGAACATATGTTGCTGTTTTAACTTGAAGGTCTTCGGATGGTAGGCCAGGTATCCTTTCATTTTCTATTAGCTCATTTTCTAACTCATTCCACACTGACCATCTTGCCTCCGCAACTAGTATTTCTTCTTCAACCTTCAAAGCATCTATTTTGCTTTGTTTTCTAACTCCTGCATTTCTAGCCGCACCCTCTCTTGGGCAACCTGCCTCTTGGTCTTTGCTATCGCCAAGTCGGCTCTGGCTTGGGCAGCATTTAATTCAACCTCTGATAATCTAGATCTCCTACTACTTCCTGTCCTTGTACTTCCAAGCCTTTCGGACGCCATAGTTTAGAAGATAATCCGTTACTACTATTTTACCACTGAGATAAGTTTTCACTGTAGTTGGGGGTCGCACAACTCAACAAATGGTCTCAACGCTTTCTATGTTCTAAAGTGTTTATTCAACAATACTTGATAGATGAAGAAAGGTGAAAACTTATTTGCATCTCCAAGGTTCAACCCGAAGCTAAGCTTTATCCATCAATTTGAAACATAAACTTATCGAATTATCTGAGTCTGAGATTAAAGAGGAGAAAAACTGGCGAGACATCCATGCTCCACAGCAATTTCTGCGTTCGTGACATTGCCAGGAAATGTCAAAATGTATCCCAATCTTAAGGTAACGCGGTTGCCGTTACAATACAAGCAACATGAATGTTAATGTAAGTACCATATTCTTATGCATCTCAAATTAATTTTCATAGTTCAAGATACAACAGCATGATGAACATATCTGCAAATTGTACAGAGGCCCTACAGTTTTACTGTATCAAAGCTAAACCGTATTTTACAACAAAGGGATATTCATTGTTTAAATGTACAGTAAACAACAATAACAGATAATAAAAAAAAAGGTAAAGTAATGTTTACTGTAATCATAAATAAAAAATAAAATGTCATGCCATTATTTTTTTAAGCTGTTGGATGTACGAATAACAATAATGAATAATAAAGAGTTTAAAGCTGCATTCTGTCCAATAAAAAAAAAAATTTCTCAGAAATGATTAAATTTAGTAGAATTACCCGATTAGTGGTATGCTTATAAATCTTGCATGGTAAAAATTACAATATGTTCATTGGGCGGAATGCAGTTTTAAGGTATTCATTTTTCTTTGTACAGTACACAATGCTGTCACCAAGATTAACAAGAGCAGCACACACAGTTATTATTTTATCAATGCTGGACATTTCAGTATTATTTGCTTCATCTGACAATGACTTTATCATTGTAATTGGTATGGGGCCACTAAGAATTGTAAACCGATTTTTCATAAAACCAATTACCAGTTCAATGTGGATTCTTATTGATACAATTTGGCGTGTGACTTCAACTTCCCTAGCTGGCAGTTGTTTTCTGCCCTTAGTGAAACTTGGAATTAAAAGTTCTACACCACATTTAGTAGCAAATTCATCAGCTAAAGTAAAACCCCTATCAGCTAATATTTGATCACCATAATGATGGCATTTACTATCAAGAAAAACATACTTTCTTACAATTTCCCCATCTGATACTCTACCGCCCCATACATTTGATAAAAATGAAATTGAACCATGGGGAGTACATGCAATACGAAATTTAATTGTGGAATGTTTTTTGTAATTGGAATAAACTTGGGAACGGGCTTTCAAATGTGTAGGTCTTTCAATAAAAATTTCAGAACAGTCGATAATTCCAGTTAATCTAGGGAAATACTGCCTGAAAACATGTGGAAGAGTTTTTATACTAGCATCATGGTCTGGCCAATGTATCAAAAAGGATAATTTTATAAAAAGTAAATCAATTCACTTCCAAAATATTGCATGCACTGTAGACTTAATTGATCCAAACTGATCTGCCAAATTCTCAAATTGCACATTAATAAGTTTGGTAAGGGTCATAAAAAATCGGTCTTTGAAAGGCATAGCAAATATTAGATTAGTTGGGAGTGATTGTTCTAGATTATTAAATACTTTATCAAATACTTCTCTTTCAATGCCTGTATAATATTTAAATTTTGATTTGTTATCTTTGAATTTTTCATAACATAAAATCTTGGTTATTTTAAGTTTTTCAGTGGCATCATTTCTTTCTTTCCGAAGACTATTAATTTCATTTACATAATCAAACTCTAAGCCTAATGAGCAAGTTTGAGTCTGCACTTCAGTGGTAGTGGTTGGTGACTGGCACATGACGCCTCTTGTAGCTATGTTGCTGGTAGATAGCACTGCTTCACAAGGCACATTCATATCCTACCCAAGTTTTTGTTGCTGTTTTTTCTTCCTGTTCTCTCTAACTGCCAATCTTTTTCCCTTAGTTTGTTTAACCTTTGTCTGTTCTCTTTCTTTAGCAGAATTGTATCTTGTTATTTTCTGTCTGTTCATCTCTTCATTTGTTGGGTTGAACTTTTGAAAGGCATAGCAAATATTTGATTAGTTGGGAGTGATTGTTCTAGATTATTAAATACTTTATCAAATACTTCTCTTTCAATGCCTGTATAATATTTAAATTTTGATTTGTTATCTTTGAATTTTTCATAACATAAAATCTTGGTTATTTTAAGTTTTTCAGTGGCATCATTTCTTTCTTTCCGAAGACTATTAATTTCATTTACATAATCAAACTCTAAGCCTAATGAGCAAGTTTGAGTCTGCACTTCAGTGCTAATGGTTGGTGACTGGCACATGACGCCTCTTGTAGCTATGTTGCTGGTAGATAGCACTGCTTCACAAGGCACATTCATATCCTACCCAAGTTTTTGTTGCTGTTTTTTCTTCCTGTTCTCTCTAACTGCCAATCTTTTTCCCTTAGTTTGTTTAACCTTTGTCTGTTCTCTTTCTTTAGCAGAATTGTATCTTGTTATTTTCTGTCTGTTCATCTCTTCATTTGTTGGGTTGAACTTAAAAATACTTGGGACACTATCTGGGTGATCTTGCTCAACCAGTCGTTTCATTGCTTTACCTGAAACAAAATTATAAGTGTAATAAATGTAGGTTGAAAAAGTTAAGTAAACTTTAAAATTAAAACAATGAACAAATGTGTGAGTGAATTAATGTTAATATAATCTCTTCTGTTTGAATTTCCTGTAAAATAAAAAGTAATTTAATGTCGTAGGCCGGGATTTGAACACAGACACACTGTACAACAATATGGCTGCTGATCTGTATGTTTCTTTATTCTTCAACCAACTTGAATTCCAACAATCAAATCACCAGTCTCAAGTAAAACATAACAAAAAAAAAAACCCCTGCAATAAACAAACAACTCATTGCAGTCATGTAAGATTACCTTCAATAATGTAAAATCACAACATAAAATAATATTAATAATATCACTATTAATATCACATTAATAATATCATAACAACAGTGATGAGCTGATTTTGAATCTAAGCATCAGGCCTATACTTCAAAACTATACATGCTACTAACTGTTATTCATAGCATATTCAAACCACCAACAAACAATATAATTTCAATGTAAACATAAAAAAATAGCTATTATCAAGTATAACCTGGCCATCCTGACTTACCCAACAGAGGTATGTACAGACTATAATACTTCACGTTCTCCTTACAATAGAGTACCAGACTTTAACAGTTTCTCTTCACCTCATAGGACTCACAGAAATCTTTGATAAAATATTTATAAAGTCTTTAAAAACTCACCTAATACACATTCTAATATAATCACACTATATTCCTATGCGACACAATAATTAACTATAATCTTAGACCAACTCGTTAATCGTTACACACTAGCTCCATGGGCGCAGCCATCTTATTCACTTTGTTTACATATAGCGCCACCATCGGCCGCTCATCGACTCTACTTTCTTAATGGATAACTGCGAGAGCAACCATGTACTACAACACCCGATACCCGTATTCTAAACTTCAACATAATTTATCTTTCTTCTAATAAGTTGCATAATGGATAAAACAACATCGTAACTGATTAACAATAATTTTAACAATATATGATAAACCTTCAATTTCTATGCAGTAGCCATAAACAATGAAATCATAGGTTATACTTTGAAAGAATCTCAGCCTGCCTACGACGGCCTAGCTGCACCCTAAAGCAAGGTGACCTACATTAAGATGACAGTTCAACAAGAAGTTAGGCTTCGGATGAAGGATGCCATCAAAACAAAAACGTCCCTAAATACACATTTTTATAGGGCCTTAATAAGTTGCATAATGGATAAAACAACATCATAACTGATTAACAATAATTTTAACAATATATGATAAACCTGCAATTTCTATGCAGTAGCCATAAACAATGAAATCTTAGATTTATGTAAAAGAGTCTCAGCCTGCCTAAACTCATCTAGCCTAACAATATTTACATGAGGTTACTCCTGTGTAATACAATATAACAATGATTATGTTCATATTTACATACCTCCTGACGAAATGCTATATTTTTAATCATTCAACGACACCAATTACAACGAATCATACCCAAGTCTCACCCTGTCGTTCTCCGCTTACCACATGGGATGATCATTACAATTTCACGGCTGACCGCATAACAATGAGATATATTCATACGCCGCCCTACATCCCAAATGGGCAGTGTTAATTTTAATAGTTATGGTACCTATATATATATTTTTTCAGTTTACGACATTAACAATACACAACCTTCCTTGACGCATGGTTTTCTTCGATTGATCGGCTAGGCCTAGCTAGGCCTTAAGTACAGTAGAGTACTCTAGACTACTACCGTAATAATTAATAAATGGATTGGAGCAAATGTTATTTCTATTCTAGCCTAGCCTACAGGCTATGTTAGTAGGCTATTGCCTATAGACCTATGATGAAACATATAGAAACAAATCGGTTGACTCACCGGTAATAAAATGTTTGGTGCACAAATAAACGTTCCTGCCTGTCGGGTTCCACTTCGAGCCATCAGCATTTTTTCGTCTGCATGCAGCAATCCATTTCTGTCTCAATACGGCATTGTTGTTGGGAAACCTAAAAAATCTTGGTTTATTTTTCATTCTTGAGTTATTCGTACATCCAACAGCTTCGCAATATAAAGGCATGACGGAAATACAACTAAAATACAAGAAAGTAGAAACCAGTAGTACAGTAGTACAGTAACGTGTCAAACACGTTGTAAAGAATAGCAGTGCCCCTTACTAAAATGGCCAATTCATTCCAATTGGAAAAAACAAATTGGATCCAATTGGAAAATACATCATTGGATTTTGGCACTTTCTAATTGGAAAATACATCATTGGATTTTGGAACTTTCCAATTGGAAAATACATCATTGGATTTTGGCATTTTCCAATTGGACTTGTTTCCAATTGGATAAATTCCAATTGGATTTCATAAACTTCAATTGGATAAAATTCCAATTGGAAAGTGCCAAAATCCAATTGGATAAAATCGGATTTTGGTACTTTCCAATTTGGATTTATCCAATTGGATATTATTTAAATAATATCCAATTAGATAAATCCTAGCTGGAAATTGCCAAAATCCAAATTTATCCAATTGGAATTTTATCCAATTAGCATTAAGTAATATCCAACAGGACCCAGTTCGATGAGGACGCCATGCAACAATGCAAACTATACACGGTAATGCAGTAAATTCACTTTCATTTATTCCGCAAACTCTGTAAATAGATAAACATTTCATAAGTAAACTCAATGGTAAATGGTATCATCTAGTAATGTAATTAAAGTTTTATCGATACTAGTTTTAACAATTAACTTGTAAGGAACAAGATAAAGAGACTTTTGAATGGCTCTGAATTAAAGGCTTGTTAAATTTATGCAAGGCTTGAACATTTAATTTAAATCAACTCATGTACCTCACATGTCTAGTTCAAACATTTACAACTCATTTAAGATTTAGTCCAGCCATAATTAAACTGTTCATGGAACTGTATGATACAGTTAATTATTAGTATTTACAAGATCACCTGTCTATACAGACAAGTCAGAGTGCCATAATAAGGATTGAAGATGGAGTTCTTTAGTCCTCAGGACTAATGATGGTGTTGTCCTTATTTTGACGCTCCAACTTCCGTAGATCGTTAAATTTATGCAAGGCTTGAACATTTAATTTAAATCAACTCATGTACCTCATATGTCTAGTTCAAACATTTACAACTCATTTAAGATTTAGTCAAGCCATAATTAAACTGTTCATGGAACTGTATGATACAGTTAATTATTAGTATTTACAGGATCACCTGTCTATACAGACAATGGTAAATGGTATCATCTAGTAATGTAATTAAAGTTTTATCGATACTAGTTTTAACAATTAACTTGTAAGGAACAAGATAAAGAGACTTTTGAATGGCCCTGAATTAAAGGCTTGTTAAATTTATGCAAGGCTTATGTAAAGCCATAATTAAACTGTTTTAATTATTAGTATTTACAGGATCAGCTGTCTATACAGACAAGTCAGAGCGCCAAAATAAGGACTGAAGATCTTTAGTCCTCAAGACTAATGATGGTGGTGTCCTTATTTTGGTGCTCCAACTTCCGTAGATCAGCTATCTTCTCTATTATGTATCGATTTACTTTCCCCACCTCAGCTTCACCGTATCTATGCCGGACATATTCTTAAAAACAAAAAATATTATAAAGATTAATGTTTTATGAAGACATTTTATTGTGCAACATTAAAGGGGGTATTAAAAATGAACATCTAGGCAATGGACAAGTGATTCACTCGACGTCAATCTGAGGAAAATGAGTTCAACTTGGTATTAGGGCCTATAGGTATTCATTTTTTTATCCACCACAATTACTCAGTGTATTTATTGTTTTTGTTTTAATTCTTATAATGTGCATGTATCTAGCTCATAATAAGACACTCCCAGACAATGCCGTAGTAAAGATTTACAAAAAGTGCGGGACAATATCACGGTGGACTCATTTTACACGTAAATTCAAATAATGTGGACCCATTTTCTAAAAAATTTACCATTTTTACACAAAAATATGAAAAATCTGGACCCATTTTTCAAAAAGTGGACCCATTTTATGTATGAAATTGCATAATTTGCACCCATTTTTCGAAATGTGGACCTCATTCTTTGTGAACCCATTAGAAAAATTGTGTGGGACTGTCCCAACAGCTGCCTATGGCATTGCTCCAAGATTGAGGTTAAAACTCCCTACATACATTTTAAGTATCCAACTCACCTTTAATTTCACTAACTTTCTCATGATTTAGGGCCTGGCGCCCTGGAGTTTTCATTCGGTTTGAGGATTTACCTTCAAGCGACGACGTTCTTAAGGTGTCCGTTCCAAATATCTGACACTTAGATTTTTCGTAAAAAGTGATGGTTTCTTTTTCTTATCTAGCATATTTAGCTCTTGGGTGGTCAAGGACTGAAATAAAAACACCAATTGCAATTAATAGCAAGAGCCCCTTAATTGATTTTTTTTCAATCCAATTTATTGAATTGACAATGGGAAAGAGTTACTTACATCTTCATCAGGGACCATCGATGCAGGAGGTGATGCTGGCTCGGGCACTTCAATCTTTTCAAGTTTGATATTTTCTTTCTCTGAAAAATTGATAATAGAAAAGCAACACATAGAAACAGGCCTGTAATCAGGAGGGAATTAACTTTGAAGGAATAATTTAAATACAAACAAAATGAACCCACAATTTGTGTCAAATCTATTTTTACAGTATTGATGAAAATCCACCACAAAAAAAGTAGAACAGTATAAAAATCAAACTATATTGATAGCCTTTAGAAGTATCTGTTGATAATGCAACAAATTCCGTAATAAAATCGATTGAAAAATTTGTTCCACTTTGAAGCTACTGTACATCAATTCCCCCTCACCTTCAAACTTTCTATCAGCCCTCATAAAAATACATTTTAAAGCACAAAATATTATACAGTTAAACTTGCCTAAATCGACTTTGCCCAAGTCGAATAATTTCTAAGTCGAACTTATTTTACATGGCAAATTGTTGTGTTTTCCATTAACAATTTGGATGTCGAATTTTATTTAAGTTGAACAATTTTTCAATGGTATTTTGGATTCGACTTAGGCAAGGTCAACTGTGGAAACTAAGAAATAGCTTCTATACCTTTACTACATTTGAAGTACGACGCCTGGAGATTGACATTTAGTTCCGTCAACACTTTGACCTTTGACTCCAACTTTGCAATCTTCAAACGAAGCTGATCACAATCAGCACATGCTGTCCTCTTGCATTTCTATTGGGAAAACATTTTTGAAATATTAATATTTAAGAAACAGGGCAGTGGCAATAAAGTTTTACAAATTATAAATGGATTGAAAAGTAATTGCATCAATTACTTTAATTAGATTAATTAAATTATAGTTACGTCACGATAACATGTGATACTACTCCATTGCTACCGGCGAGACAAAATGCGTTCAACCGACGCCATTTTATCGACTGACACATCAGTGATCCCAATTTCTAATGTAATTATTAATTTAATTTATTTAATTCATCTTCCAACAGCGAAAAATCGCCACTTACAGGTGAGAATAAATTACCTAATAAAAACATATAAATTTATATTAAAAAATATATAAGTATAAAAGTACAATATAGAAGATAAAAAGGCTTTAACTGCCACAGAAATTTAGAAATTGTATCTTAATTTTTCTTTGTAAATGTTAATTGATAAATAAATGTGTGTTCGATAACTAATATAATGCAAGCTTTTGAGTTTTAGTACTTTTTAATGGTATATTCTAAATCATTAAGATTATGAATGAACGGTAACCAACGTCCAGCCAGAGGGTGCTACCTGGTGTTGTGACGACACGACTGTGGTACTCTATACTGTGCTGTATTTGCCCAGCTGCCGAGAATTAAAATCAGTTTGGTGGGAGTAAGAGCTTTAAAATAATGATGATGCAAAAATTAATGTTTCTTGGTATTATGTGAGAGTTTGTGTGGTCCTGTCTGCCATGGAAGACACCGAATGACCTGTCCTTACAGAAAAGCTAATGCTGCCCAAGAAACAATATTGAAATGCCTATGATGTAATCAAAAGTTAGAAAAGTTTTAAAAAGCACAAAATTCTAACCTTTGGTTCATGTGCTACTGTGTACTCCTCATCCGATGAAGAATCCAAATTAACCTCAAAAATTGGATTAGATTTGTGCATATTTAGGATGCTTGTCATATGCTTGCTTGCTGCTACTTGCTTTTCAGATTTCTGTTTCTGCAATATTTATATAAAGAGATAATAAATATCATCAGGCAACTACTGTGCAAATGCCTTGCATATACTGTGAGAATGTTACAGTTTCAGCACTAAATCATAATAGAATAATGATACAAATATAAATATTGTTATTATTATATATTTACTATAGTGTTAAAATGAATTTGAACATGAATGATAATATTTAAAATGCTTATTAAAAGCACTGTGTAGTGTATTGAATGAAATATTGAATAATAAATTAATATAAATTATGAGCTTATCTTTTATGCATTTTAAAACAACTTTTATAGTATCCAGTGCATATTTACCATCTTATTTACCTTTTCATTTGCAACTAACTGCTTTTGAGCAACCTCTATGCTTGTACTCTCATCCTCTGTTTCAGTTAAAGGCTCTGATATAGTGACATTAGGAATCCTCAGACGAGCATCTGACGTCAGTATATCTTGCAACACATCCTCCGATTCTGATAATAAAAGAAGGTTTATAATTAGACCGGTGCCGATAATTTTTGCATCACATCTATAAGGTTTTATAAAAAAAGAGCAACAAATCCAATCGTGTTAGAAGGTGATAAGAGTAGTTAAAGAAGCTCTAATTTTGATGCAAAACAAGGACTACTGAAATTTTCTATTTACACCTGACATTTTGAAACACGGCTCTGAAACCCAGGCCAGTTTGCCAATGATAATGGATAATGCAGGCCTCTAAGCATATTTATTTATTAAGCTTAATCACTGCAAAAAAATACATAAGATAAGACAAACAAGGCTATCTAATCCAGTAAAACTCAGATTTTTTAGTTTTTGTCGGCCCGGCTTATGTAGACTAGACGCCTCGCCTGTGCCTACATACAGATTGGTCATGCTAGGCTCTAGAGATGGTTATTCCCGCATTTTTAGAGAATGCTAGATCAGCAGAATGAAGGCAATTCGAACAATCAGTAGAAATTACTGATTTTTTTCAAATTATGAATTCATATTTTCATGACATTCTCCAGAGAAATTAAGAATATGGCATTATATAAAAGCTAAAATAATCAATTTAGAGTTTACATTTATTCCAAATCCTAAACAAAGCTGAATTTTGCTAAATATTTTCATTCAAAATTAACCAAAAAAATTAATGGAATTAAAGAAAGCTATCTTTGCTTATTCTTCTGTTTTGTCGCTACTCAAACTTCTCTTTCATTTTGCTAATTATTTTCATAATGAATTGGCCACATATTTTTTTTTTTGTTGGACAGCTAGACCCTGCTGTATATGCATTACGCAAGAGGATATACATTTACATTATTATTATTAAAAAGTTGAGGTTGGGTTTTGGCCTTGGTTAGTACAAGCTTTGGCCAGAAATTTGCCTCGATATCATGTGCAATTTGAATTTGCCTGTGCATTTCGAAAAAGTAAGGGCCAATTTCCACAGATTTTGCGATAGAATTAATTTGACCTAGGCTGGGCAAAATTCAACCTAGAGCCGGTCGACCGTCCTTAGTTTTCGACTTAGGCCTCAAATAGCTCAAATTCTTAGGTTTAAATTTTTTAATATCTGCTACCGCCACTATATCATATTCACGTTCTTGTTTAAAATATATCAATGCATGCGACGGCTGAACCATAATTATGCCTGTAGGCTTCCGCAAATTCATGTAGACAACTGGTGGTACGTACAACGCTTCTCTTCTCTAGCAGGCGAATGGAAATAACCGCCAAATCTGATTCGGCGAAAGAAAGAATAGTGTTAATCACACAGACTTTTAACGCCGAAAGATACCCGGCGGGAAGAGAATCTCTACTAAACGTCTGGATATTTTAGACAATCTCATAATAGCCCGCTCGTCCACGCAGCCGTTAATAGTAATACAGATATTCCGCGGGAATAGAGGTTGTCACGTTCTCAAAAATTTCCAGTATTTTGTCAGTGACCAAAATTATTATTGCATTTTCAACTTAGATAAAATACCCAAAAAATAGCATGCACAAATAGATCAGATGCAAAGTTAACGAAATTTGTTCAGGATCATAAATACTGATTCGTAAATATAGGTTTTTCTTGATGACATTTTTTTTTTACTTTCTGGGACGCGCGTTAAACGCTGGCGGCGCAACTCTTGCGTAAGCCTGTTTTCCACTAGAGTAGGCCTAGCGAATTTATTCGCTTCTTGAGCTCTGATTGGTTGCGCATTTATTCACTCTGATAGAAATGTGATGCGCATGCACATGAACCGATCCTTTCGGCGTGAAAAAATGCGCAACCAATCAGAGTTTAGGAAGTGAACCGACGCTTACAATTTCGCGCGAATAAAATTGCCAGTGGTATTCATACGCCGGCAGCGCCTGGGGAGAGCAGATCATTTTTATTTGCTATTGGGTTCGAAATGTACGGAAGCACCTAAGTGCCATTCGACTTGACGACTTGTCAAGATAATTTATGTTGTCAAGTCGACATAGGGCGCATTCAGATTATGTACTCGGCATAAAATGTTTTCGTAACATTATGTTCTCGGCATATGTTCACATACCACACCGAACGAAAATGTTTTCGAAATACGATCATTCAGATTATAAAACCATGTTCTTGGCATTTATGCATGTGTAACATTTTAAGAGGAGCTTAGAGTCACTGTAGGCTTTAAACCAAACCCAAGTATAGGCGCAAGCAACATCATGCCATGTCAGAAGTAATCGGTATATCCGCAATTTTGATACTTAAGATATTGCTAATGATATCCCAATCATCCAAGTTAAGGTTCCGTGGTCTTGTAGTTATGCTCTACCATTATGTTAATAACCCAACATCGTCAAACATCCGCCGTATTTTACCCTTGTTTCTTCACCTCAAACAGAGAATGAACAGAGCAATGTTACAGCGTTTAGAAATCACACTGATGACTCTCCAGGAAATGACCGAACTGTATACCATAAGGAGACAAATGTGGGTTCGACCACGTCCACGGAATTGGTGGGAGTATGCATTGACTACTTTCAATGATGCTGACTGGAAGACGCACTTTAGAATGAAGAGGAGAACCTTCAACGTTCTTGTTGATAGAATTCGTCCTTATGTGCAATATGAAAACACCCAATTCCGCAATGCCATACCTCGAAGCATCTATAAGCTTAATGAAAGCAAGGTAAAAAGAAAATCTAGAGATCTACACTGAGATTCTTCAATTATGGAGCAAAATGTGCTTCTATGTACTTTGTTTTCTATTAAGTTTACAAAGTTTTCTGCTTCATTGTGCCAAGTATTTAAGTTCAGGAAAACAAAATAGAAAATTATAAATGTTATACAAAAAAAGTGAAGAGACAGACATCTAGGCATTTGTGTATATTCTTATAAAAATTAATGATTTTTCAGGGTGCAGAATCACTTCCTACTTCTTCTTTCACGTTGAAAATATAGTCCACCTAGTCACTGCTGCCTGTGTACTTCACAATCTTTGTGAAGTAGAGCGTGATGTCAGACTTCAACATCGAAAATGTGCCTCCAGACATTCAACCCATAGGGAATGACCAACCACCAGTAGAGGACATGAACAATTCCCAGGCATATAGAAATGCACTTGTACGCCATTTTAGTCGTAATGAATAAAAGAGGACAAAGTCACAGACTAAAATTTGATACATACATAACGATTTAATCACTTGAAATAAAGCAGATTCTTCAATATATTTTTTCTCAGTACAGCAAATGCCTTCATAAATACAGTATATGTAATTTCTATAAAGTATTGTAACTGATATTAAACTAGATTAATGTACCTGTTTTATTTATAGTTCTTAGCTTAATCTGTCTTTAGTGAAGTGACAGAATTTCCCAGTAAACTACGTATTAACACTGTAACCTACATTAAAATGATACACAATTTTGCTTTATACTTCAATTTTTTTTCTCAGTACAGCAAATGCCTTCATAAATACAGTATATGTAATTTCTATAAAGTATTGTAACTGATATTAAACTAGATTAATGTACCTGTTTTATTTATAGTTCTTAGCATAATCTGTCTTTAGTGAAGTGACAGAATTTCCCAGTGAACTACGTATTAACACTATAACCTACATTAAAATGATACACAATTTTGCTTTATACTGGTTTGAAAGTTTGAACGAAAATATATTGTTGTACAATACATGTTTTATTAAAGACTTTAAAAAGTTATGTTGCTGTCTATTACCTAGAATAACAATAAATTCGAAAAACATTTAAACACTTGAACTATGTAAACACTTAATGGTTAATGCAAAACGTTTATGCTTCAATGGAGAATAAACGAAACTTATATTTAGTTCACTATTATAGATGAAACCAGGAACACAACTTAAATGTGTTTGTATTTTTTTGGTTCCTCTTCATCACTGTTATTGGCATTAATTGGGTATTGATCAATGCATGGTTGACTAGGGACTGCTTTCGAAAATGACGGTGTGGACATAGTAAATGCAGAACTAGCTGCAGTCATTGATGACCTGGGCATACGGACTGACGAAGTGAATGTCTGAGAAGATAGATCAGACATGTTCAACGATGGGCTGGTCATATGGTACGATGGTGAGGACGTCTGGTAAGATGGTGTGGACATTTGCTGTAGCCTGCATGTCGGGAATGATGGTGTAGAGTTATGGAAAGACGGGTTGACGTCTGACATTGGCGACGAGGTTCTGGTTGTTGGAAAAGATGGTGTGTTTGGCTGGAAGGAGGAACAAGATGCTGGGAACGATGGCCTGGACATCGGGAATGGTGGTGGGGATGTCGGGAACGATGGTGGGAATGAGTGCATAAATGTTGACAGTGAAGCTGTCATCACTCCCATCATGTTCATGACAGACACTTGGAATTCTCTTTCATGTTGCATCTGATTTTCCATAACTTGTAGCCACTGCTTATTTACTTCCTCATTGCGTCTTTCTGATCCAGACATGTGTGCCATCAATTCTTTGTATTGTTTATTACTTTCCTCCAATGATTCCTTCATTTCTTGTGACACTTCTTCTTTTACCTGCGCGATGGCAGAGGACATGCGGCTCGATCGTTTTGCTGGTGCTTTCCCTTAATGCGAATCATCTGTGTCTAAGTTAAAATTTTAATAAATTAAATGAAAATAAATATGAACACTAGCAGCTTATCAACAGTATACATTTTAGGCTTATAGCTATAAAGCTAAGTAGTATGCTAGTACAGTAGCTTGTAGTAGAATAAAAAATAAAAAGGAAATCTGGTGGGTAGCTGTAGCCTGTACATAACGTGTTCCAGCTCTGCCCCAGTGAATTTCCGTGTAAATAAAAAAATAATTACCAAGATAATCTTCTAGTTGCACTGTGGATTCTGAATCTGAGTGGTCGTTGTCCCGGTCTCCGTTTGCTTCCCAGTGGCAAGTACTGGCTGAGCCCGAGGCTGAGGTACTGTCGTCGTTCGCATTAGGCCTACTATCGTCTCGCGCACCCCCGGCCCCGCTGTCGAATATGACAACTGGCTCAGTAGCAGGCTTGGTCCCCAAGATGTCATCCATAGCAGAAAACCACGACGGAAGTTTCGAATCATCTTTTTCGTTGCCGGACTTGTTTTTCTGATCTTTTATTCCTCGGTACTCTCTCTTCATTTTATTAAATTTGTCTCTTATACGATCCCAGGGTCTTCGTGGAAATCCCATTTCTGCAAGATCGTCGGATACCCGTTGGAACAGTTGCTTATTCCCAGATCCTTTGCAGGTAGTCTGTGCTTCTATCTCCCTTCTTCCCCAAACTACAACTACGCAATTCATTTCGACTGCACTCCATGTGCTTCTCTGTCAGTACATGTTTCCGGCATTTTGTTTTTTCCACCAAAATTAGGCCTAAGCATAAATTAATCAAGAGCAGTGGTACCGCCGTACTATTCATGAACAGCATGTGTACATTGCGCCCCGGAAGAATGGTCAAAGCAGGTCAGGTCACGTCACTTAAGCCCGCCCAGTTATAACATTTTATGCTCGGCACACGTTCAGACTTCATTCCAGAGTCGTAGTTCGAAAACATTTTGTTCCGAGAACGTGGTTCAACTGGGTTCTCGCTAGAACATTTTGTGCTCGACATAAATTCCTTTAGCACACGTTCAGACTACAAAAATTGACGTATGCCGAGAATATTATGTACCGAGAACATGTGCCGAGAACACAGTCAGAATGCAAGGAATATATACATATCATGTCGACATGGCGAGATAGATTATCTTGACAAGTCGTCATAATAAAAATTGTATGTTGTCATGGCGAGACAGATTATACTGACAAGTCGACATAATACATATTGTATGTTGTCATGGCGAGATAGATTATCTTAACAAGTCGACATAGTAAAAATTGTATGTTGTCATGGCGAGATAGATTATCTTGACAAGTCGACATAGTAAAAGTTGTATGTTGTCATGGCGAGATAGATTATCTTGACACGTCGACATACTAAAAATTGTATGTTGTCATGGCGAGATAGATTATCTTGACAAGTCGACATAATAAAATTTGTATGTTGTCATGGTGAAATAAATTATCTTGACAAGTCGACATAGTAAAAATGTTATGTTGTCTTGGCGAGATAGGTTATCTTGACAAGTCGACATAATAAAAGTTATGTTGTCATGACAAGATACAATTTGTATTTGTCAAGATAAAATATCTTGCCATGACAACATACAACTTATATTATGTCGACTTGTCAAGATAATCTATCTCGCCATGACAACATACAATATGTATTATGTCGACTTGTCAAGATAATCTATCTCGCCATGACAACATAAGCTATATTACAACAACATACAACTTTTATTATGTCGACTTGTCAAGATAACCTATCTCGTCATGACAACAAAACATTTTTAGTATGTCGACTTGTCAAGATAATCTATCTCGCCATGTCGACATGATATGTATATTATGCCGACTTGACAACATAATTATCTTGACAAGTCGTCAAGTCGAATGGCACTTAGGTGCTTCCGTATATCTGAAATCGGACGAGTATGATGATTTTTTGTTCCACTGTTGAAAATTTTGTGAAAAGTGGAACGAATTTGGATTCCATCACGTTGGCTTTATATGACAATTCTTTGGCATACTTGGTTGGAATTTCCATTGCCTGCTCATCTAGTGTTTTTTGCATGCTTCCAGCAACTTGGATATTATATTTATCTGCAGGAAGAAAGTTTATGAAATTGTCTAAATAAAATTAAGTAGGTTTATGATTTGCGAGTTGAAATAATATATTGACATATTGTAATTATTCCAAACTTTAAAGTGATATTGTGACGCTATATTAAATAGTTTTTTAATTGCCTGGCACTTAGAAGATATCAAGTTTACAGAATTTGCTGGCGATTGTCATATTGTCCTCTATGGTGTTGATTTCTACACGAAAATCTAAATTTACACAGTAAGCAGTGTTTATGCTCCCAATACAAAACACTGACTTCCCAAAACATTTGGCGGCCATATCGGCAGCCATTTTGGTGGCCATCTTGGATTTTCAATGAAAATAATTAATTTTTATAATTTATTAACTAAAAATCATAAAAAATCAAGTGAACCTCTAAATGTATATAGTAAGCAGTGTTTAAGTTCTTAATACAAAACCTTGGCTTTCCAATACATTTGGCAGCCATTTTGGTGGCCATCTTTTTTTTAAATCATTAATTTAATGTATACCAAAATTTATTAACTAAAAATTACATAACATCAAATTTATACAGTAAGCTTTGTTTTATATTCTAAATACAAAACATTGACTTAGCAATATATATGGCGGCCATATTGCCGGCCATTTTGAATGTTCAATAAAACTTGATTATTGGTATAACATTTGAACTATAAATCATACAAAAATTAGTAACCAGTGTTTTTAAAGTAATGTTGTTATTAGGAATTGATTGAGAGTGCAGTACACTACATTCTCCCCCGACTAAATTTGAACTACAAATTCAGACGGTCTGGGGCCTTAACTATTCGTGAGGATCTTCGCAATAGGGGTTTTTGAGCTGGTAGGACTATTTGACCTTTGTCAACCGGTTCACTCACTTCGGGGTTTTCGACCACCATTGGAGTTTTAGAGAGTGTGGAACTTTGCGTTGGCAAAGGCTCAGGGTGTGTTACCACAAGTGGATCCCGCTTCTTCTCATGAACAACCACTTGGAGTATACCCACTATTGACAGGAACACTAGCCAACAGATGCTCGGCATGAAAATTGCGTAGGGCTCCGCAACACGCACCAAATAGGTGAGAGGGCCCAAACTCTTAATTACACATCCATTTACATGCGTAATTAACTCATCTCTATTGTTTTTAACTCCAACATGTTCAACTCCTTAATGGCAGTGACCATTCGCTTCTTATGCCTTAGGGTTGAATAAGACAAACATTATTGTGGGGAACATGCTAAAACGACACCAGAATATTTAAAATCATTTAAAGTTAGTTTGGACATAGGTTGTCTCTGCTCGGAAATTAGGGGGAGAGGTTCCAACCACCACCGCCCGCAAAAGTTTTGAGAACATACTCCTATCAAATTTCCATGGATGGTGTTTTCCTCTGACTGCTTCCGTGGCTCCTTGATGACAAAATAGTTTGTGAATGGCTGGTTGATAGGGGTAACTTTTTCACCAGTACTTGAGACAAAACCACCTAATCCTGGAACAAGTTGTTTCTCTACGCTCCCCACTGCACGTGCCAGTAACCAGATATGATACTCTCAGATGCACTCTACAGTTTAGCGCAGGCAGAATAAATGCAGCTCCCTCAGATAGATTTTGGGCCAACACGATCATTATACACTGATGTCAGGATCTTGGCCATATCCACTCTCATGAGCGCATTTTGCTTCATACGTAGACAGTTAGCGTCCGGAGCATTTTCTCCTGGTTGCTGGCTCCAAACTTGGGTTTCACCTCCTGTACTATGATTCAAGCACTGTTCAACACCTTTGAACCATGAATGTTTGTCATAATTTTGTTCAGCTTCATAATCAGCTCTTGATGATGTATCCGCTTACCTCTCTCCTCAGCTTAACAGCATATTTCATCTCGAGTGGGACAATCTGAACAAAACTACGCTATGACAAATATTCATGTTTCAAACTGTGTTGAACAATGCTGGTGGAATCAAGGTACAAGAGGTAAAACCCGGGTTTGAGCTCTGGACGCTTCCTGTCTACGTACAGACGAAGCAAAATGTGCTCCTGGAAAGGGGATATGATCGTGACCCTGGCACCAGTTCAGGTTGTGCTGCGCCCAAATTTTCTGAGGGAGCTGTATTCTATCTGCCTACATTGAACAGTGTAACAAAGTGCATTCAAGAGTATCATGTCATGGTTACTTGCATATTGGTAGCAGCAGAGAGAAACAACTTTTTCCAGTATATGGTGGCTTTGTCCCAGGTCTGGTGAAAAACTCCTCTGTAAGTCAACCATCGCCAGCATTACCCCTATCTACCAGCCAGGCACAGAATGTTCAGTCATCAAGGATCTATGGAAGCAGTGAGAGGATGCCATCATGGAGGTCAGAAGTGTGTTCTCAATAATTTTAAACTTTGTGGCTGCAATAAAACACCCACAACCTATATCCCAATTTTCAACCTGTGAATCATCGGCTTGGTAACTTCAAGCAAGCTAATAGGCCGATATCCTGTTGCAACAAGCCTTCTGATTTTTCTTATATTATTATGTACCACTCTGGGAAATTTTATGATGATCCGTTTTGTATGATCTTGCTAAAAGGCAGACAAACAACAGTGAATGCATAACCTCCTTGGCGGCAGTTAAAATAAAGTATGTGTAGAGCGGGTCCTCCATTAATTAATAGTCATTTAAAAAATTACATGATTTTATAAGGGATTTTCTTTGTAAAACATCCACAAAAAAGACTCATTGGATGTAACAGCATGTGTAGTGCAATAATAAATGTACAGTATATTTATTGTGAAACTAAACATTGCATCTGACTGGTGTTCATTGGTGTGGATAGCATTGTGAACAGGGAGCTTGAATCACATTGACCAGAAAATCATGGTCATTGAGTTTGACCATTTGTTTTTAGTTTGTACCTTAAGGTTGGACTAACATTATTTTTTAAATATTTTTTATAACATACATTAGGCCTATGCCATTGAAAAGCGCTTTTTAACCAGGATCAGAGCGTTTTGTATTAAATTTTGAGTGTAAATAAAGTAATTTCTCATATTTTTGTAGTTTCAGTGTATCAAACCTGCTTAAATCATAGGTCATGGATCTCAATCAATTCCCAATGACAACATTACTCTGAAAAAATTGGTTATTTCTTTGTTTGTATAATATAGGTGAAATGTTATACTGCAGGTAATCAATGTTCATTTAAAATACAATGGCCGCTAATGTGGCCGCCAATATAGCTGCCAAAACGGCTGGGCAATGTATTAAGAAGTCAATGTTTTGTATTGAGAAAATAAATACTGTTTATACCATAGGCCTATATATTTAGATGTTCATTTGATATTATACGATTTTTAGTTAATAAATTATACAAATTAATGATTTTCATTGTCAATCCAATACTGCCGCCAAATGTATTGAGAAGTCAATTTTTTGTATTGAGAACATAAACACTGCTTACTATATACATTTAGAGATTCATTTGATTGTATATGATTTTTAGTTAATAAATTATGAAAATAATTGATTTTCATTCAAAATCCAAGATGGCCGCCAGTATGGCAGTCAAATGTAAATGCGAGGTCAATGTTTTGTATTAAGAACTTAAACACTGCTTACTATATACATTTTGAGGTTAATGTGATTTTATATGATTTTTAGTTAATAAATTATAATACAAATTAATGATTTTAATTGACAATCCAATATGGCCACTAAATGTATTGAGAAGTCAATTTTTTGTATTGAGAACATAAACACTGCTTACTATATACATTTAGAGATTCATTTGATTGTATATGATTTTTAGTTAATAAATTATGAAAATAATTAATTTTCATTCAAAATCCAAGATGGCCGCCAATATGGCTGTCAAATGTAAATGCGAGGTCAATGCTTTGTATTAAGAACTTAAACACTGCTTACTATATACATTTTGAGGTTAATGTGATTTTATATGATTTTTAGTTAATAAATTATACAAATTAATGATTTTAATTGACAATCCAATATGGCCACCAAATGTATTGAAAAGTAATTTTATTGTATTGAGAACATAAATACTGCTTACTATATACATTTAGAGATTCATTTGATTGTATATGATTTTTAGTTAATAAATTATGAAAATAATTGATTTTCATTCAAAATCCAAGATGGCAGCCAATATGGCTGTCAAATGTAAATGCGAGGTCAATGCTTTGTATTAAGAACTTAAACACTGCTTACTATATACATTTTGAGGTTAATGTGATTTTATATGATTTTTAGTTAATAAATTATACAAATTAATGATTTTAATTGACAATCCAATATGGCCACCAAATGTATTGAGAAGTAATTTTATTTTATTGAGAACATAAATATTGCTTACTATATACATTTAGAGATTCATTTGATTGTATATGATTTTTAGTTAATAAATTATGCAAATAATTGATTTTCATTCAAAATCTAAGATGGCCGCCAAAATGACCGTCAAATGTAAATGCGAGGTCAATGTTTTGTATTAAGAACTTAAACACTGCTTACTATATACATTTAGAGGTTAATGTGATTTTATATGATTTTCAGTTAATAAATTATGCAAGTAATTGATTTTCATTCAGAATCCAAGATGGCCGCCAAAATGGCGCCAAACGACCCCATGGGCCAATTTTTTTCGATGGGAACATCAAAATTCGTTCATCAGATACTTTGAGGATTACAAAAATGTTAGTTAAAAAAATATATCCTGTGGTTCCTACTAGACTACATGGAATTGAAACCTAATGAAAGAAAAGTGCAAAATTGTTTAATTTTATTTTAGAATATATTGCACAGTATCACATTTTAATATAATAATTTTACTTTTTTTGTCAAATTTAAATATTTATTTGAAAAGCTTACATGGTCTATATCAATGTTGACCATTGATTTTCTCACAACATCTCTCGAGACGTCTTTGCTTGTTTTTTCACAAGAGCCAGCAGCAGTAAATTTTGTGAGGTCCTTAGACAGAGACTTCATAGTTATTTG